GAGGCAGGAGAGGAGGAAGAGGGGGAGATGGAGGACGGGTCGCCTAAGCCCTTCGGAGAAGCCCTCCCCGCAAAACTCGGGAGCTCGAGTTGCCTGGGCCCGCGCCCGTGCGCAGCACTCTCCGCGCGCTCCGCCAGTCTGGCCTCCGGCGGCCTGTCTGGGTGCCTCTGGAGACGGGCGGCGCGCACGAGGGGACGATGGGCCTATTTTCCACCACCACCACTTTAAGTTGGACGGGGAGGGGGTCCTCCTCCTCCTCCTCCTCCTCCTGCTCCTCCTCTCCTCCTCCTCCTCCTCCTCCTGTCCTCCTCTCCTCCTCCTCCTCCTCCTCCTCCTCCCCCGTCCTCCACCTCCTTACCCCCTCCAACTTGTGGTGGTGGTGGACAACAAACCCATCACGGGAAGACGCGTGGGCCGTGTTGGACGGCGCAGGAGCTCCCAGCAAGACGTGGGGGCTCCAAGGAGACTTCTCGGAAGGCGCGGGGGGCTTCTGAGAAGCCCCGCCGCCTTCTGAGAAGGCCTGCTCCTTGTCACTTCCCCCCCTCGCTCGCCGCCGATTGGCGTCATCCCCATACACTCGCCGCCAAGGCAAGCCCGGATGCGTCAGGAGACGTGCGAGGGGGTGCGGCGTCTGATGCCTGCGTGCTCCCAGTGCCCTTCCGGCCTGCGCCACGTTCTTCGCGTTCTTCAGCTGCAGCATGGACGCGCCGTGCCTCTCCAGGATGCCGATGGCCCTCTCCAGCGTGTCGATGATATCCATGAGTTCGGCCTTCTCCGCTGCAAAATCGGCCGACACCTTGTAGGTCTGTAGGCGTGTGATACTTTCCCCCTCCCCCCCCCCCCCTATAGCCCCCCACACAGCCCCCCCCACACAGCCCCCCCCAGGGACCCCAAACAGGCAATTTGACCCCCCCCCGGCCGGCCACGAACGCGTCATGGGGGATCAGTGGGCCCCGAATTGGGTAAAAAGGGCCCCAAGACCCTCTCCCAGACGGTCCAAGAGGTTCCCGAGACGCCAACAAATCGCGAAAGGAGACTCCACATGGCTTCAAGAGGGTCGAGGAACCTCACAAGGCGCCCGAAAAAGCTTCCAAGACCCACCCAAGATCCCCCACAGGAAAATATCGTTCCATGCCTTTGTAGAAGCGTATATTTTTAGCATATTCGCCTCTGCGGCTTTCACACTGTCAAAGGTGGCTCACGAGCCCCCAGCGACGCCCCAACACCGCCCAAAAGGCCTCCCCCAAAGAGATCCAAAACGGCCGACAAGGCTCCCGTGAAGGCATCCGACAGCCACAAACGGCCCAAGAGGGCGCCCTGGGGGGGATCCCGAACAGATATTTGGAGCCTGCGGCCCCCAGACGCCCCCACCTAGGACGCCCTCAGGAGTCCAGAACAAAATTCCAATAGTTAACCCCCCAGGAGGCCCCAAGAAACTCCCAGGAGGCCCCCCCAAAAAACTCAGACACGTTTCCAAGAAGTCACTGGGAGGCCTCCCAGGATACCCTATCAGCCATCCGAGTGGCCTCCCACCCACGACCCAGGCACGGTAGCGGATGGAGCGACGGCGCCGACCGATTCGACGGTTCCGCAGCCAACCCACGGTCTCATTGGCCCCCTAAGATCCCCCCAAAACGGCCGAAGGGTCACGCTGCAGTCTCGCCTCTGCCACTTGCACGCACTTGTTTCCCCAGGAGCCCACATGTGCTTCGTATGTCGCAAGGGTCGCCGCTGACCTCGCTGCCGCGCAGGAGGCATACGCCGCCTACGCGACTGCAACGAGCAACATCCTCTGACCGACTGTCTCCGGGATCGCCCCAGCGCCAGACACGGCACTCTCTGCGTACACTGCGGCACCCTCGCCCAAGTCTTCGGTGCCCCCCCTCTGCCGCTGCTGCTTTCGGCTCACGCCGACCCCGGGAGACCGCCGCGCACACATCACGCGCGCGAGCGCGCCCAACGCGGCGCGCAGCGCGACCGGAAACCCACACAGCCAGCCGGCGAGGACCACGCGGATTCGAATCGTGCCCGAGCGCCACGAAGATCTTGGCGCGCATTGCGCCGAAGAACGCCGCGTCGGCGATATCACCCGTCTGCCTTCGCGCGGCACGAGGGGCCTTCTAGAAGGGGTCCGAGTAGATGGGGTCGGAGGATCGCGCTGCATCGCCAATACATCGCCGATGCATCGGCGATGTATTGGAGATGAATCGGCGATGCACCGGCGATGCATCGTCGACGTGGGCGATGCATCGGCGCCGTCGACGTGAAGCAAGTCGGGCCCCACATCGGGCCGCATCGGCGATGAATCGGCGATGCGGCGCCATCCTCCAACCCCATCTACTCCGACCCCATCCAAGAGGCCTAGAGGCACTGCTCGCCCAGTGCGTTATACGCAAATCCGGGCGCCGATATCGAGGCCGCGTCATGCACGCCCGAACTGCCAGGTTTTCACAGACGCGCGCCTCCTTCCCTCCGCGCTCCTGCGACTGGCGCCGTGCGCCTTTCCCCCAATCCCCCGCGCGGCTCCGCCTCGCTCCTCCTCGGTGCCTTTCTGCGCTTGCACCCACGCGTGTCGCTCGAGCTCTCACCTGATCGTTTTTGAGACGGCAGCCGCTGCCATCGAGACAGAGCCGTGCTCTCCGACGGCGACCCCCACCTGCCTCCCACACGTCTCGCCGACCACATCGTTGCCCGCCTCCAGAAGCCCACTGGAACTTTGTCTGGTCTCCCCCCCTGTAAGAGCCCTCTCGGAGCCTTATGGCATCCCCGCGGGACCTTACGGGGCACCTACGGATCGGTGTAGGCGTAAGAATGAAAGTAGTCGTCGTTGTCGTCGTCGTCGTATTTCTACCGACTGCGGCCTGTGGCGAAGTCGTGCGAACACTCTGCTGCATCACAACCAAGCCGCCATGATAACCCCATAATGTTTCCAAGGAACCTGGACGAGTCCCCCAAGACGTTTCGAAAAGCCCTGGGGACTCCCACCAGAGACCCCCAAGCATGACCCAGCCGCCCCCCCGCCCCTCCCCCCCGCCCTCACCAAAGACGCCAAGTACTATAGAAAGGGTCGGCGGATGTGACGCAAGCCTGAAGAATCGGCGGACTCTTTCTCCCTGATGAACGTAGAAGCCTTCAGGTCTGCCTCGTGGGGAGGGTGGGGGCGATCCTGAATAATGTACACTGCAAATGTATGCAAGCACACTTGACGACTTTCTGGAACTGCGCTATGCAAACGGTGACACCAATCCAATACCTCGAGTAATTTCCTACGTGCCCTGGAGGTATTAGTCTTCACTTTCTCGACATGGATTGTGGATCCTTGGTTCCATTCAATAACTATGCAACAGGTGTCCGTGCCAAGGGCATCCCGACAACGCACACACAAACATGAATTCAGCAATCGTTGTCATGATGCCGACAAACATTGCAACATGTGTGTGTGTGGTTCGCTTCCCTCTTCCTATATCTCCATCGAGTGTATCATCCCTGCTAGTGTTCCCTTCTATCCCACATCGGCGGTCTGCCTCGTCCGTGGCGATCGCAGAGACCAGCTCCTCCGTTTTGGTGGTGAGCGAGGCGATCATCGCGGCCTCCTCGCTGATCGTCGCCTTCAGAGAAGCGACGTCAGTGTTGCCCGTCTTGATGTCGTAGGCGAGGTTCTTGCTCCTCTCCTCTTGTCGGCGCGGGCGACGGGGTGTGGCGCGAAGGGGCCGGTCTTCTCAGGAGGCTGGGGAGGGCCCGATGAGGGGGGGACCCGCTCGTGGGGGAAACGGCGGGCTGGAACCGATACTCCGCAGACAGATCGGGAATGGGCCCCGACAGAAACTCCGAACCCTGCTGGGCAGGGTGGGCTATCGAGCCTCCAGCGGCGATCAATGGGCGATTGGGGGTCGATGCGCCCCATGCTCCGATGTCCCCCTCCCTTGAACGATGCCCCCGATCTTAGAACCTCCTCGGAAGCCCTCGCAGCATCCCAGAAGGCCTCTCAGAAGCCCCCCCTTCGGTAGACGAAAAAAACGCCATAAACAGAAACTGTTGGCGCTGCGCGCGGATTTCTTGGATCTGCGCTGGACCCATCCCCCCCTCCATGGCGCGCGGAGCGCGCCAGGGGTGGCGCCGGGGGCACCGACGGTGGGGTTCAGAGCGCATCCAAGAAATCCACGCGGAGCGCCAAACAATTATGCTCCTGGCGTTTTGTTCTCTCCTTCGACTCGGGCCGCCCCCCCGTCAGCGCCGCCGCTCCTCGCACCACTCGGAGAACTCCTCGAACACCTTCTGGGACTCCTGGCCCTCGCCGATGACCCGCCGGCCCCCCGCTCTGCGGCGGGGGGCACCGGGTGGCGGGCCCTGCCTTCGCCCTCCTCCTCCTCCTCCTCCTCCATTCGCTTCCAAGCCCCACCTCCTCCCCCATCCGCCATCCCCCCCCCCATCCCCTCCATACCTTCCCCCGTCCTCCTCCCCCTCTCTTCCCCCCTCCTCCCCCCCTCGCTTCCCCTCCAGTTTCCCTCTCGTCCTCCCCCTTCTCCCCTCTCCCGTCCAGCCCATCCGCCCCGCCCTCTCTCTCCTCCTCCTCCTCCGCTCCTCCTGCTCCTCCTCCCCCTCCTCCACAATTCCTTTTCTTTATGAATTACTTGTCCTAGTCACACCCCGAGTCCAGTTTTTAGGGCGGCCCGGGCATTTCGCCTGAGACTGCCTCACCATTGATGATTCTGAAGTTCCAGAAGTGGAGACAGCTTCAAATATAGAGGTCGGGTAGTTTTCAAAATGTGGCTCTCGCCTTCGCGCGGCGCACATTCGTTTTAAACATGTGCAAGATATTCACGGATTGAGGGCGGGTCATTCTCAAAATGTGGTTCTCGTCTTAGCGCCGCGCACTTTCCATTTTAACAATTGCAAGAAACTCACGGATTGACGGCGGGTCGTTTTCAAAAACTTGCGCTCGCCGTAGCGTCGCGCACATGCGTTTTGAAACATTGCAATAGCTTCTCGGTTTGAGGACGGGACGTTTTCAAAATGTGGCTCTCTCCTTCGCGCCGCGCACATTCGTTTTAACTATTGCAAGCGTTTCACGGATTGAGGGCGGGTCGTTTTCAAAATGTGGCACTCGCGTTAGCTCCGCTTTCGTTCGTTCAAAAAAAAAAAACTTAGAGAATTTCACGGATTGAAGGCGGGTGGTTTTCAAAATATGGCTCTCGCCTTCGCGCGGCGCACATTCGTTTTAAACATTTGCAAGAGTTTCACGGCATGAGGGCGGGTCGTGTTCAAGATGTGGCTCTCGCCTCAGCGCCGTGCACATTCACTTTAAACATTTGAGTACGTATCAGAAATGGCGTTTTGGAAGGATTCGGGAATATGCGGGTGCAACAAGTATGTTGGTTCGCGGTGTCGAAATCCCCAAAATGGCGTTCTGGCACTCCGGATCGTCAAGACGCAGCATTCAGGTTCCGTGGCGTTGAATTCCAGAGAACAATGATTTGGTATGCTTCAGGATCTTCAAACGGTTGTCGTCCAACGAGGCTGTTCCCTCAATGGAATGACGCGTGGTAGGGGCCTATGACGAGGGAGCTTGGATGGAGGGTTGATTCGAACATCGTTGATGACTTTTGGGTTTACACTGGTCCTCCTCCTCCTCCTTCTCCTCGTCCTCCTCGTCCTCCTCGTCCTACTCGTCCTTCTCCTCCTCCTCCTCCTCCTCCTCCTCCTCTGCGCCCCCATGATCTTCGCCGCGTCGCCCGCGGCCGGCGCTCCTCGTGGCCCCCAGCGGACGGCCCGTGCCGCGCTTCCGCGCTCGCCGAGGAGCCGAGGTGAAACGAAGCCATGGCAAGGACAGAGAGAGTCGGGCGGGGATGAATCGGGGATCTCTGGGGGATGTACAGGGCGCCCCGGCCGTCTCAGCTCTACGCTGCTCTACTCTGCGCTACACTACGCCACTCTACCCTACTCTGCTCCACTCGACTCGACTCTACATTAGAATGCGGCTTCGCTCTACTCTACCCTATTGTACTTGAGTCCACTCTGGTCTACGCCACAATATATGATATCCAAGTTTAATGAACAATCTACAACATTCTATCCTACTCTACTCTGCTCAACTCGGCCCTATCCCTATTCCCCCTTGGTCTATTCTCCGACTCTGCCACAGAACCGGCCGACAGGGGCAACATCCATGGGTCCTACCTCCCAGGACGCCGCACCAAATTGATGCTTTTCATCTCGACATGGGCGTCTTGTCGCCGACGCTGGAACAACATTCGTGGCGGGAGTGGGAGTGGGACGCAGCGCGCATCCCGCGCGAAAGGCCGAACCGTCGCCCCCGCCTCGGCACCGAACAAATTTCGCAGGATCGTGGCGATCCCGCCCCGACGCCGCGAAGCTCTTGCCCTCTCCACATGCTTTCCAGGGGCCCGCGCGGCCCCTCCTGCCCGGGAGCGGGGCCGCGAGCACCCCCCCGCTTTCTGCGAGGCGGGAGCGCGTTCCAGTCCCGGTGCGAAGTTGTGCCACCACCGGTCCCTCTGCTTGCTGTGGGGCAGGAACTGAGCCCAGACGTTGTGTGTCGTGCTGTCTTCGTTCTGTGCTTCGTTCTGCTCGGCAACGGTTTTCCTGCACCTCCCTCCCAGAACGAAAAACAGAACACAGCCGGAATCCAGCAGTCCGGCCCTGCTCGGGAGGGAGGGTGGGGGAATACGTGGGGGCCCTCGGACGCGCTGGGCCTGGCCAACTGGACGCCCACTCCACTCCCCTAGACTCCGCTCGTACTCCAGAATGCTCCGCTCTGCCTCTGCTCCTCTCTCCGCATGGCGAGGCCGTGCAGCTAGCGGAGAAGACATGCGGAAAGCCCGGGCGAGGCCGCGCGGCTGGCAGGAGAAGCCGTGCCCTCTCGGACTAGAAGAAAGGGGGACCAGTGGACCAGTCCTGTACGCATGGAGTCAGGACTCCTGCAAAGCATACATACTTGGAGAGAAACGACTCCGAGTTAGGAGCTGATCCTGAGGCAAGCCCCGGGGTCTAGGACCCATCTCCCGCAGGACCCCTCTACTGCACGGCGAATGCCACGGCAATTTGGAAAGAGTTGGACCTCAAACTGTGTTGCTGGCCCCAATGTGCTACGGCAACGGCTGCCGCCTCATCCTTCCTCACAGTTTATTGGAGAACAGGGCTTTCGCTAGATACTTCCCTGCAACTTATCCAAAAATGGCGCTCTCGCCGGAGGAATTCACGAATCGCTTCCTTGGCGCTCTGGGGTCGCGCTCTCGCTCGGAACTTTATCATAACTATCTCCTGGATCGCGTTGTCGCCTGGGGCTTCCTTGGGATCTCCTCTGGCGAATTCCTCTTGCTAATCCCTCTCGTCCTCCGTATTCTCCCTCCGTCACTCTGAGCCGCTTCTCTCTTCCCTCCCGTCGTCCACTCCACTCATCATCGCTCAAAGTTCTCGTGGATTTGACGTGGTGCTTTGGGTGATGTTGGGGTTTGGACGGGTGAGGGTCTGGGATTGTGGTGTCCATGCTTGGGATCGCGCTTTTTCAAGTAATCATGTTCTTCTTGTTGAAAGGGTTGCTCCGATTTGACGTGGCCGAGCATTGCTGCTGTCGCCGTCCCACACTCGACCAACCTCGCGACCCATCCTGCGACCCGCTCGCGACCCCTCCTGCGACCCGCACCGTGGTCCACGCGCGACCTGCGCCGCGGCCCACCCCGCGACCCACCCACGAGCCGCCCCGCGACCCGCCCGCCCCCGCACGCTTGTCCGCAATTGCGGGGGACCAGGTGCCACTTCCTCCTCCGAGGGCGGTCGCACCTCGGGGACTCGGCGGTTAGCCTGGAAACATCCCATGAACACATCCCATCAACACCGGACCCATTATGCAAACATCCCATGAAAACCGGACCGTCAAAATCCTGGACGCGCTCGCCGAAAGAGCGTCGGCAAACTCCAATTCCGACGCACTCTTTAGAGACCTGCTAGATGGGGTCCGACTAGATGGGGTCGGAGGATCGCGCCGCATCGCCGATACATCGGCGATGTATCGGCGATGCATCGGCGATGCACCAGCGACGCATCGTCGACGTCGGCGATGCATCGGCGACGTCGACGTGAAGCAAATCGGGCTCCACATCGACTCGCATCGGCGATGCATCGCCGATGCGGCGCAATTTTCCGACATCATCTGGGAGGCCTGGGGACATGGGCCGGCCGAGGTCGGTGCCGCGGCGGACCGATCGCAGCGAAGCTGTCCGCGCGGGGCGCGGCCGGCGGCGGGCGGCGCTAGCCCCGCGGTATCTTGGACTGCAGGTCCCCGATGAGCTGCAGCACCTGCGAGGGCCCCAGGAGGGCCGCCAGAGGCCTCCCAAATGGGGTCGAAGCAGCGGCGACGCATTGGCGACATCGTCGATGCAGCGGCGACGCATCGGCGACATCGTCGATGCATCGGCGACGCCAGCGTGGAGGAAATCGGACTCCACATCGAGCCGCATCGCCGATGCATCGACGATGCGGCGCGATCCTCCGACCCCATCTACGCGGACCCCATCTAGGAGGCCCAGAGCCGCTGCACTCGCCTGCTCCGCCGCCCCCCCTGGGGAGGGAGGGGCGGGGAGACTCGAGGCTCGGGGAGGCTGGAGATTGCGAGCTGCTCGGGGCTCGAGGCTCGAGGCTGGAGGCTCTCGAGGCTCGAGGCTGGAGCTCGAGGCCCGAGGCGAGCTGCGAGCTGCGAGGCGGCCACGCGAGGAGGCCGCAGGGAGGGGCCGAAGCGCCCAAGCTGTGGCGAGAGGGGCGGAACGCAGAGATGGCGTGTGGCAAAAGGGCTGCGAGGGCAGGCTCCACAAACTCCTCCGCCGGGCATGGGGCCACGAAGAACTGCTGTGCACCACCCCTCCTCCTCCTCTCTCCTCCTCCTCCTCCTCTTCCTCCTCCTCCTCTCCTCCTCTCCTCCTCCTCTCTCCTCCTTCTCTCTCCTCTCTCCTCCTCCTTCTCCTCTCTCCTCCTCCTCTTATTATTCTTCCTCATCCTATACCTCCTCCCCTCTTCTCTCTCCTCCTCCTCCGCCTCCTCCCCTCTCCTCTCTCCTCCTGCTCATCCTCCTCCCCTCCTTCTCTCTCCTCTATGCACTCGACCGCGCAGTGCGTACAATAACGTTTCAATGCATCACGTAGTGCCTGGGTCCCCCATCAGAATATTAATGTCGGCGTCGTCCAAGCTACTGGCGTGCAGGCTGGAGATTCGAGGCTCGAGAATCGAGGATAGTGATTCCGAACGCTGGCAGGGGGCCAGGCAGGAGCCCCCACGTGATATGATGAACAACACCCACCGGCCAACCGATCCAGGGTGGCTTGACCGCCCACGCCAGAGAAAGACTAGGCCACGAAGACCGTGACTGCCAACACCCAGGCCGCAAGCGGCCTCGGGAGCGCAACCCATGACACCATACCCTCCTGCCGCGGCGCAGGTGCAGACGTTGGAGGCGGAGGTGGAGGGCAAAAAGTGCAAGAGAGGATGGCGGCGCAGGAGGTGGAGGACAGGGGGAGGACGAGGGAGGAGAAGAAGAGGGGCGAGAGAGGAGGAAAAAGACGAGGAAGTGGTGGGGTAGGGTGCGAAGGAGTACATGGAAGGGAACACATGGAAGGGAGACGAGGAGGACGGTGGGGAAGGACATGGAGGAGCGTCAGGAGTCAGGAGGGTGAGGTGGAGGGGGCGAAGAAGGAGAGGAGAACGAGACAAGATGCAAGAGAGAAGACAGAAGACGAGCACGGCAGCGAGTACGCGGTTGGGGAAAGCCATATGGAGAAGGGGGGGCTGGGCGGGGAAGGAAATGAGGACGAGGCGAGGAAGGAGCAAGGCACCGAAGGTGGTGGGGACGGGACGAGGAGGATACGGGCAGCGAAGATGATGAGGACTGGGCGCGCTGCGGCCGCAAGAGCGGGTATGCCCCGACCTTGCCGATGGGCGACTCGTCGTCCGCGCGAGCCGCGCTGGCCACCTCGACATCATTCTCGTCATCGTCGTGATCCCTCCTCCTGCTTCTCCCCCCCCTCCTCCACCACCACCTCCTCCTCCACCACCACCACCACCACCACCTCTCCTCCCCCCTCCCCTCCTCCCCCCTCCCCCTCCCCCCCTCCCCCTCCCTCCCCCTCCCCCTCCCCCCTCCCCCCTCCTCCTCCTCCTCCTCCTCCTCCTCCTCCTCCTCCTCCTCCTCTCCTCCTCTCCTCCTCTCCTCCTCCTCCTCCTCCTCCTCCCCCTCCTCCTCCTCCTCCTCCTCCTCCTCCTGCAGAAGCATTACATGACGGAATTCCGCGCGGATGACTGGATCGACGCTGGACCCCCCCTCCCTCGCGCGGGTGGCGCGACAATGCCGGCGCGGGCCGATCCCAGAACTCCGCGCGGAAATGGGGAATTTCTACGAATGACGTATGTCGGAGGTGATGGGGATGAGATCGAAGTGGAACGGAGAGCCCCCCATACCGGGAAATCGGTTCCGGTTTCGTGTTCGTGCGTGCCGTGCGCGCGGGCGAGGCGAGGCTGCGTGGGCGGGCGAGAAGAAAGTCTCCTCCGGCTGAAGCGCGGCCCGACCACACGATTCCTTGCCAGGGGCCGGTGGCCCGCGGTGTCCCGCCGGTTTCCCGCCTCCGGCTGAAGCGCGGCCGGACCAAATAACTTTTTTCCGGGGGCCGGTGGCCCGCGGTGCCCCGCCGGTGTCCCGCCGGTGTCCCGTCGGTGTCCCAATGATGATGATGGTGATGATGATGATGATGTCGGTGATGTCGATGATGATGATCATGGTGATGGTGGTGATGATGATGGTGTCCCGATGATGATGCGGATGATGATGATGATGATGATACTGATGATCATTATGTTGACAATGTTGATGATGATGGTGATGGTGGCCATTGTGGTGATGATGAGGGTGTCCCGATGATGATGAAGTTGATGATGATGCCGATGTTGATGATGAAGATGATGATGATGGTGTCCCGATGATGATGACATTTCTGATCAAGATGATGTTGTTGATGATGAAATAATGAGATGGTGATGGCGCTGATGATGAAGATGATGATGATGGTGTCCCGATGATGATTGCAAAAATGAAGTTGATGATGCTGTCCATGATGAAAAAATGATGATTATGATGATGATGATGGTGTCCCGATGATGCTGACGTTGATGATGATGATGACGATGATGGTGTCCGGATGATGATGTTGATGGTGAGGGCGATGATGAGGTGATGATGATGGTTTTGATGATGGTGGCCCGATGGTGTTGATGCTGATGTTGATGGTGTCCCGACGATGAGGATGAGGATGGTGATGGTGGTGATGATGAAGATGATGGTGATGATGATGATGATGATGCGGGGCTCTCTCGTGGCCATCGGGTACTTTTTGTGCAGAAGGGCGACGGCGCACGAGCGCAACGGCAAGCCTCGAAGCACAGACTCGGTCAGCACAGCACAAAAACATTTAATATTCGGCTCAAGTTGGGCGGGAGGGCCCGGGGAAGAACTTGAGCAAGGAGGTGCGGCCACATGCAAACCCACAAATGCCGACAAGTCGCTGTATGCGGGGCTCTCTCGGGGCCATCGGGTACTTTTTGCGCAGAAGGGCGACGGCGCACGAGAGCAACGGCAAGCCTCGAAGCACAGACTCGGTAACTAACGCTAGTCGCAACAAATGGCCACAGCCGCAGCACTTCATTGACCAAACATTTTCTTGTATCTAGCGGCACGAGATAATTGCCGAGCAGCGGCCACTATCACGTCAGTGCCTGCAGTGGCTACCTGAAAGGGAAGCCCACGAGCTGAGCAACGTGCAACGGCATCCAGCGCAGGACGCCCTAGGCCGCCAAGGTGGCGGCGGACAGCACGGTCACGCAGGCCTAGGGTGCAGAGGCAACGGCGCGACAGGCAATTGAGATCTCGGACGCCCCATCCGATCAAAAACAATTCGCGTTGAACCCGACCCGAGAACACGCAGGATTCGAGAGAGCAAGAAGAGGAGGCAGAGGCGAGGAGCGAGGAAAGGAGCGGATGTCGCCAGATCAGGCTTGACTCTGGGTGCCAGAAAATCACAGGCACCTGACGAGCCGTGCACTCTCGAATCAACCTAAAGACAGACGCTGCTAAGGCGCTTGCCACGCGAATGGCGCGAAGATTGGTGTCGTCACTGTTGGCGCCCTTAAGCGGAGCGTCCAGGCGGCGGCATCGAGCGCCGCTGGAGGACCAGGTCGCAGACGGCAAGGGCGCCCACAGCCCTGAGACGGCCGATGATCGCACCCAGCCCAGCAGCATCTGCACAACCCGAGGATCCGAGGCGTCCTCTGCACGGTGTCTGGCTAGGTTGATGGCCACTGTTCCTAGCCCGCGATCCTCGCAGGCCAATCGAAGACGAGTCGGTACGCAGATGCACAATGTAACGAAGTACGGCAAAACAGAGGCGCGCAAACGGGCGCGCCGCCGCAGCCTATCCAGTCGAACCTCCACTGATCGGTCAACGCGGGCACAGTCTTCTCTGCAGCCGGCGCCGACGCGGGCGCCAGGGGCGGCAGGCGGAGCGGGAAGATGCCCGTCCTCGCCTTCACCTCCATCAGCTGCAGCAGCCTGGCCTCGACCTTGTCGCCGAAGTCCACCAGCGCGGGTGAGAGCTGCCCCAGCCGCTGCGGCATCCGCGCCCGCTTCGCATAGCGGTTCAGGGATTGATCCGTCCGCCAGCGCCCGCGGTCCTTGACCTCCTTGCGCGTCCGACGGTCCGATAGGAGATCGTCGGACGCCCCTCCGTGCCGAAGGGAGTACAGCGACGTCTGCTCGCCGTCGAGCTGCAGCATCGCCAGCGCCGCTCGGAAGGCCTGGCGGACCTGCTCGGGCGAGAACGTCCACAAGTTCGCCTCTGGCCGCCTCCCGTCGCGCAGCGCGGCCAGCAGCGGCCGCAGCGACGGGTCGTCCACGATCGCGCTCTCGTCGGTCACCCCCGTCTTGCCAGGTCTGCCGCTGGCTGCATCGTTGACCAGGATGGCCCAGTGCTGGTAGCCGCCCTTCGACCCGACGCGCGGGGCGATGAGCGAGGCGGCCGCGAGGCGGTGGGCCTCGCTCGGGCGGAGGTACGTGTCGAAGGCCAGTCGCGCGAACACCGCCTCGGACAGGCGGCCCTGCGCCAGGAGGACGCCCACTATCGCGAACATCGCCACCCGAGGCAGCGGAAGGCGCATCTGGGGCGGGACGAGCTTCGCCCGCCCCTGCAGCGCCCGAAACGCCCTCGGCAGCGGCCGACTCCCGACCAGCATCGAGGGGAGATGGTGCTTCAGGGCGGCCAGCGTGGTGCGGCCCGTCGCGCTGTCGTACCCATCCAGGAACAGATGCGCGAAGTACACCGCCAGCACGGTGTCGAGGTCGGCGCAGCAGGAGAAGCCCCGCGCGGTCCACAGGCACCAGCTCACAAACTTCTGGGCGCAATCGTGGTAGTTCCTGCCCGTGGAGGCCGAGACGGCTGACGCCTCCAGCACTGAGAGACTCCCTCGCGAGAGACTGGAGGGCCCAGGGTGGGTCTTCCGAGCCCTCGCGGTCTTGATCACCTCCTTGGGCCCGACGAGGCCGCCGCGCGGCTTGCCCCTCCAGGAGGTCCTCGAAGCTCGGCCCGACGAAGAAGCCCTCCCTCGACGGCTTGTCGGCGACATTCCGTTCAGAGGGCACCCATCGGACCAGCAGCCGCAGCCCGCGTGCCAGGGTGACGCCAGAGAGCCGCCTCAGCGCGCGCACGAGATGCGGGCTCCCCGACCGCCCTTTGCCAACAGCGAGGGCTAGAGCCAAGTTGTCAACGAGGCATAACATGCGATGATGGTGGACTCCGAGGGTCCTCGGGGCATGGTGAATGCTGAACCCCGAGGCCTCGGCCTCATACGGCAAAATATCACACCCCAACCGCGTGTGCCTGCTCGAGTGGATCGTCTTCCAGCCGTCGAACCCAACGACGGCCTCGGGAACCTCCAAGAAGCTAGACGTAGTCGACGACGACGCAACAGCAGCAGGGAGCGGCGCGGCAGGAGGAGCACGGTCGGCGGCATCCTGATGGGGCTCTACGGGGCTGAAGGCGTGGGCCCTCGCGGGCACGCTGGAGCCCTGGCGGCGCCTCCACTTCTCGGCCACGCGGCCAACCTCCGAGACCAGGTCGGGGGGGATGCCCTTGACGCACACGCCCTTCCCGTACGTCGACGCGTCAGACGCGTAGACCCTAGACGACCACCTGGACCTAGTAGAGGCGCTCCAGAGGGGGATCAAAGCAACTGCGGCTCGAAGCCCCCTAACCACGGAATCCCAAAGAGGCACGGGTTGAGCGCCCGCCACGTTGATGAACCTAAAGACTGAGTTGAAGATCGCCTAGACATCCCGCCTCAAGATCATACCCCAAGTACGGTGGCCCACCAACACGCTGAGAGCCCCCGCAGAGGCCCGACCACGTCGTAAGAGTCCGAGTGCAGCCTGCCGCGTACGCGCGAGGCGATCGGGCCGAACTCGAACGACACCCGAGAGACCGTCAATCTGCAAGCCCGTGAAGACACCCTTACTGACGGCCTCCGAGAAGCCCAAGAGAGGCAAGCCTCGGGACGTTAGAAGGTCGGCGACCTCACGAGCACGGCGAGTGGCAATCTCAAGGGTTTTTGACCCAACGCAGAAATTGTCAACGTATCCAGCACGTATGGCGTCGGTGTGAGAGATTAGCTTACGGGGGCATCCTCCGTCCACGATCACGTCACCACTGTCGAACCCAGCGTCGGCCAAGGCACGAACGAGGGCGCTCTGACAAAAGTGAAGGGCCCAGCTCCAACCCATGGGAACAACTGTGACCAACGGCTGCACAAAATCGTGGATACCGACGGGTCTCCCATTCATCGATGCGAGGCCGATGTGACGATTGGAGATCGCGGGCAGCGAGAACAGCGACTCCATCCCTGGAGGCAAGCGCAAGTGGTAG